AAAGTTCGTCAACGGGACTCTATTACATTTCTTAGAAAGTAAAATTGTAATCTATAACCTGTAGTTTATAAAATGTTGTATTGTTTTGCATATCCAGAGTAAATCTGGTAACTCTGTTACTTGGGTTAAACAGAATAAGTAACATTGACAGAGTTGCATTCCATAATTTAACTTATTGTTTAAAATTATCCATTTAAAGCTGCGTAATTCGGCAAAAATAGTAAGTAAATATTTAAGTTTTTAGCACTACATGAGCTTCACTAAAATTTGAAAATCTTAATCTATATTTTTATGATTGGGTTAATTAGTATAGTTTCCCCAGTTCGAATTCGGTTTTATGATAGTACCCCATTGCGTAAAAGTTAACATTCTTAACAATAGATGACTATTGCCGGTAAAATAATAAGGGTTGTATCATGCCGATGCCATTACACAGTATAACGGTTAAATCCTTATTTATGACTTTTATGACTGTCCCGTCATCGGTAGTAGTAATCTATTGTTAAGGAAGTTAACTTTTACACATCATAAAACCGAATTAGAACTGGGGAAATTATACAATAAAGTGAATTTTTGCTTAAATTTTTAGTGCGTCATTTAATGAATTTTATATTTTTTATTAAAAAAAAAAAAAAAAAAACAGAGTACCACTCTATTTTAACTTAAGCGTCTTTCATACGCAGTTGAAATAATAATAATATCATATTTTTTTATAACTGCGATATTTTTTATGAAACAACTTTCACACATTTTTTAGACTTGAAAAAAAAAAATAAGGAAACCAAAAATTATTTGTAAAACGATGCACATTAACCATAACTGTTACAAAATAATTATCTAACCTTTTAGTATAGTCTAGTGAGCTGAAAATTGTTATAGTTAAGAATCCATTACTTCGCGGTTAAAATCAGTGATTCATTAATAAGCCAATTTATCTTGCTCCTTCTAAATTACTCAAATGGTCGGGAATTGGATTGAACAAAATCTGTGTCAATGATTTCTTAATTATATATAATTCAATATCAAACTAATTATTCTAGTGCACTGTGAACACATTGTGTGAAACGAAAATTATGACTTGCTATGTGTCGCCCGAAGCTTACAATTTAATCTAATTAAGGAACACTAAAGCGTGAAAGAGTTTTTGTAAAACTTGTATCACCTTTGTATTTTCGACATCTCAATTTCATATTTTAAACCTTCGGAAGTGTTGCGACGGGGTTTCGATAACTTGTAATTATATGCTTACTATAAACACGATCATGGGCGCCCATAGAAACCATTCTCAGGGGGGGCCACCCTGAAATTTTTGTAATATACTCTATTCTTGTATATACAAATAATATAATGATACAAATCTTTACTGTTACAAATACATATATATTTTAATCATCAACTGCATTAATCAAATCCACTCGCAAATAACCCTATAAAAACATTATTCTTATTATTAACAAAACAGTGTAAAATATTAAAATTAAAAAGTTATAAAAATATTAAATTAATCAAAAATTTTTTGATACTTGGAAAAAACTAACATGCTCTTTTAGCAAATCTTCCATAAAAATACTACTGTCAAGGTTTTTTATTTTTACAAAATCCTGCCAATTTTGGATTTCGTCTGTTAAATTGTCAGTGGAGTAAAATTCGCCCAACCCTTTAAAGCAACTTGGTTTTAAGTTATGTATATTCTTTCGATGTAAAGAAAATAATGAGTATAGTGACAGTTTTGTTTGGAAAATCGTGTTGTTAGGGAAAGAATTAAATGATCCAGGTATGGAATAAAAGTGCCTATTTTAAAATAATTTTCTATGCTATCTGTGTTGTGGTTCGTACCCCTACTGGTGAAACAGTTCTGGAGCAACCAAAATTTCCACTCGACGTCGATGGCTACTCCGAAAAACCGCCATCAGTAGTAATAAATAACACCACTCGTGCACATTGTTACGTTATTACCGCTACCATGATCAGCCTTGTCACTTATTTTATAGTTCTTATTAGCTGAAGTACCATCAGTATTTGTAATTTTTCTCTTGAAGAAATTTCGAATATCTATATTTCTCTCTTCTCTGTTTCTAAATAAAATATTAAATTTAAAATTTAAACAGACATTTAATTTAATTTAATCAAGAATACTTACTCTCGAATTTTGAAGTAAAGAAATAATAATAATTATAGCCAATAAAACGCCGGTTCAACAACTGTTCGTCTTTAAACGTCACTTCACCACATATAAAAAGTGAAAACGGAATGGATATAAGCAATAAAGTGTTTGCTCTTGTAATAACTGTAAAAAGCAAATAATGAAACAACCCATAATTCAGTACCGGTTAAAAACGATAGATTTATGATGTTTCCAGGCAAATCTGGTCCGAACAAAGGGTTTCAAAACCAGATGGTCTAAGTTTGTCACATTTCTGTGTTTGTGTGGCAATAAAACTGAAAGTGTAGGGCATCTTGTACCTACTCTTACAAATGTGCTGAAGTTTAAATTTGACAAATAAAAAGGAAATTGACGTAGAATCTCAGGCCCCCCCCTATGGGCGCCCATGAACACGATTACATAGGCAAACACAGATGCCATTGCCGCTAGTTCTAAATACATAATCTTGCAAGACCTATAAAATTTACAATTCGATATCTCATATTCATCTGTTTATTCGTTTTATGTAAATTTTTTTATTGCACGAAACTCCTTTCATTTTTACTTTATTTATTGGAAGCGGAAAGTATTCTGTCTTTACTCTGATTAAGCCATGAAGCAATCGACTGGCAATTTATACCGGAAATAAGCTAAAGCTGAGGAATTTTGTAGATAAATTAATTCTTGGTAGAGATAATGTGGTCACTACAAAAAAATCTAGGAGCGAAATTAATGGTAATAATTTAATTAGAACGAAATTAATTTTATGCACTGTAATCGATATGGTGACGTAATTAGCGATTGATTTAAAAAATATTGACATCAGTTCGGCACGAACCATAAAACTAATGACAAATTACCCTACATGGTATTTTTATTACATTATTTAATTTAATATTTATGCGAAAGTTGTATACAAGTTCTACTTTTTTTTAATTCTTAAGTAAAATTATAATGAAAAAATAAATACCTATCATTAATTTTAATTAGTTAAAGTACGAATTATTAATATAGGCCTAGGTAAAAAACAGATGGATGTTCTAGAATTTGATCGTTAATTTACTATTAAGAAATGGTAATATTTTCTCTAAAATGACATGTATCAAAAGCTTCAAATTTTAACCTCTGAAACAGGGGGCTAGGTATTTGCTGAAGCAAGGCGGAAAATGTGTAAGTCGGTGCTTATGAAACATGGAAGTGGATGATTTTTTACAAATTTCACTTATATGTAATAACAATTAGATCCTTGAAAAGTAACATTTAAAATCACAAAAATTTAAACCTCCGATTTTCAGCCGTTTTAAATTCTTGGATAGAAATGATAATATGCGGTCGTTTTATTTAATAAAAATAAACAGAAAAACGCACATTTTAAATGCAAGCATTAATTCCTATATACATAAAACAGTCATCAAAGGTATTTTTTATACCGTTATATATACTACCTACATATTTGTAGTGTACAGTTTACTGTCGGTTTTAATCAAAAGAAGAAACAGTTAATTTTTTGAAAACTTTATTGGGATTAATTTTGTTTGTAGAACAAAAATTTGGCCTCGTCAAAGGTGTTATTTAAATCAATTTTATTATATCTTGCACACCATCTTATTTAAAAAATTTCGGTGTTGTAATACACTTAATATTAATAATCATATACTTACAGAACGTGATCATCTTTCTGATAAGTATGGATGTTTATCCTGCGGTGATTTAGTAACCGCAGTAGACAGAAACCATTAATTTGTTAAATATTTTCGTTTCGAGACATTTTAGAAAGAGATAAGTTCAAGATGAAACTGCAATTTTAAGATGTGTTAAGGATCAAATAACGTATTATTATCCAATTAATTATCTAATTTCTGCAAATAACTACATAACAGTAGCCATTAGAAATCGTTATTATAATACGGTATCAAATAACTCCTTGCTGGCAAATAAGGATGCTTTTTTTCAGTGTCTGTAATAGTGAGCGTATTAAACACAGGCGCAAGCTGGAAAATAGTAACCGGTTGGGACAGTCGGACAACGTGTCTTGGAAATGCTTTGAAAAAATTTACATTGTAATAATTTCCTTTTTATATAATGTTAGTTTCATAATGCAGTAATGATACACTTATGTTGACTGATTTATGAAGATTATTATTTTTAATTAGGCAAGGAACAAGTTTATGATTCCCAAAAATATAAATCCTTTGTGCTAAATTATGGAAAGTGTTGCTTAATCTGCGATACATTTTAAGATTAATCGTTGGGAGATTATGTCACCAATAAAAATTCGGACACGGCACAGGTGGGATAAGGTCACTTTTCGTCATAATAGGTTATTCATATTGTTATATTTCAAAAGCACTTATTGTAATGGCTCGAGCTGCTTTTCACGGTATTATTATGAAATAATTTTTGTGGTTGAGTTTACAATTGGAAAAAATTGAATTTAATCAACTAATTTGGACACTGTGAGCGGAATATTATCGAGCTGTAATTAGCTCGCACGTCCTAAACGTCATTAATTACCGGCGTTGCCCGACGGGACCTTCATCTCCTGATGCAATTTCCTAAAAACGTTCAATAATTCAATCTGGTTTCATAACTCTAAATTTCAAGTGGGTCAATTCATCGGTGCCCTTCACGACTCTTAAAGAATGAACCTTCCAGTAAGTCGACAATTACATAAAAACAACAATCACATTGATACTCATGGTCTCTTTTTGCCGGTGTTAAGTAAGTTTCATACGAAATACAACAAGCTTTGCCGGCATGGAAAAGGAGAACTGAATGGCGCGATTCATATATGATGTTTTGATCTAGTTTTACACCATCACACGTGATTAAAAAAGCGACCAAAACCCTACCACTTTAACTATATAAACCCGCGCCATCGGCTCAATCTACATCACACATCGATTGTGCATTTACCAATCCACTTAACTCAAAAACCATGAAATTCTTGGTAAGTCCACCACTAAACAAATCCACCCCGAATAACACCCCTTGTTTCAGATCTGTGTTGTTGCCGTCTTGGCCGTCGCCTCCGCCGGTGAGGAAAAGAAAGAAAAACGTGGCCTTTTGGGATTGGGCTATGGAGGTTTGGGATACAGCGGATTGGGCTACGGCGGATTGGGCCATGGAGGATTGGGCTACAGTGGATTGGGCTACGGATATGGATCTCTTGACCACGGTGTGGCTTACTCTGCTCCCTTGAGCCTGGGACACTCTCTGCCCTACTCCTCCGGAATCGCTGTTCACTCTGCTCCCATCGTCTCTGCCCCCCTCGTTACCAAATCGGTGGTTTCCGCCCCCGTTGTGACCAAGAGCATCGTCTCTTCTCCCATCATCGCTAAATCGTACGCCGCTCCCATCGTCTCCGCCCCACTTGTCACCAAGTCCATCGCCGCTCCCGTCTTCGCTCACTCTGCCCCCATCATCTCCGCCCCCGTAGTCACCAAGTCGATCGCCGCTCCCATTGCTGTCGGATACGGCGGACATGGATTGGGTTACGGAGGTCATGGATTAGGTTACAGCGGTTTGGGATTGGGATACAGCGGCTTGAGCTTGGGACATGGTTTGTCCTACGGATTGCATTAAGCTCCGAAAGCTTTAATTTTTTAATACATGTTTTTGTATTGTACATATTGTATGATCGATGTTGGATTAAAATATAGTTTTTATACCAATTTTATTTTTTATTTTATTTGTGATTTGGATATCCGATGGTGCATTGATGTCATAAGACATATTACTAACACAAGTTGCCTTGAAAAGTGGAGTAATCATCGTTTTTTAACGTTTCTCACCTTAATTATGTAATCAGTTTACATAAGTGCTGAGACAAATCGATCGATTTTTTTAACTAGTTCTTAGGGTAATAAAAATACTTAAGGAGATAATTAATGGACAACTTTTTTTCTATAATCTTATTTCAAAGCAGCAGCCTAACTTGTTCAGGAAGTGCCACCCAAGAAAAATCCTCATTTCGTCACTGATCAAAAATTTCAACAATTTCGTAGTTATTGTTCACGTTATGCGTGAAACATGTAACCGACTTACTCAACTCAATTAAACAATTTCTAATAAGTATTAGAAACAAAATTAACGCCACTGTGAAGGTCATGTATTTCTCAACCCTGTACATAACATCGATTAAGACTAAACGAAAACATTACCAAACTGCAAGAAATCACAAAATTTCAGATTTATTATGACACAGACAATTACACTTTCACTAGAATTATAATCATTCTTAAATCTTCGGCAAATTATGCGACCACATGAAGTTGTAAAATGGCTCTCTTTCTTTGCGTATGCCTCTATTGCGGGTCAATACTACTGATTTCGTAAGTTATAAATAATGGCAACAGTTAAATAGTTTTAATGTGCAACATCCTCTACCGTAAACGACTTGATAATAGAGGCGATGTAGATGAACCAGATATGCGTAATACCTAATTATTATGTACCTATCATGGGCGTTATCAGTTTTATCCATCGAAGTTTTCAATTCCTTTCACTTAATATAGATTTCAATCTAATGTTAATTTTGTAGAAATGTCACAGTGGGGCTTCTCCTCAGTAATGTAGAGGTGTGTCACGCTAGCGTGGATGAAATTAGTAGTATTATTTTGGTGACTTCAGTCGCAGAGGTGCAAATGAATATGAAAAGTGAAAGGGTGCAAAAAATTGTTACGTGCAGTGGCGATTTCGGAACGGTTGTGGTTGTGATATATGGGATAATGATTAGTAGAACAAGATCTAAATTTAATCACATTATTAAAAAACAAAAAAAAGTGTTCTTGTTTCGACATTAATGAATGTATTATTTAAATTATCTATAAATATGTACTGCAATTTATTGCCATCATATTACAACATTCTAGACATTCGTGTAGATTTTTTAGTTCGCATGATATGAACTGGGTGATATGAGTGACATGTTTAAATGGAAAATTATATGTTTTTACGATTAATTTTTAACAAGAAAAAAACAGGAACGGATTTGAAAGAATTTTTATTTAAAAAATATGTCCTTTGGTATCTATTAAGGATACAGACCAAATTGTTTTTTTGTTCCAAATTTTGAGGCCTTGTTTAGATTTTTATCGAATCAGTACCTAAAGTTCTGCGGATTTATGTCTGTTGCAAACAACTGCTATATCCCTAGGTATGTACGTACTAAGCAGTCTTTGAAGAATGGTTTAAATCCATGTGTCACAGTTCAAAGAATATGAAAATGTAGATTTTCCATTTTCATCAATTTCTTTAGCTGTTGTAGTGATAAAAAGTGCTAAAGAGAATTTGTTTTCAAAAAGTAATGATGTGATATCAAAATATTATAAAATAAATGTCACTTTTTCAAAATATGGAATTTTTGTTTTTTGAACAATAAAAGGAACTGGGAAAATGATGGAGATTCATTTTTTACGTTTAGATATATTATTGTATACAGCTGAAGAAATATTACATTTAACAATGAATTCCTAAAATATTTATTACAAATGTTAATGCTTATTGAAACATTTTGATAGGAGAAATATTAAAATATGATTTAAATGGTATGTTTGCAGGACATTTTAAATACAGTTTGGTCGAGAAGGGTGGAATAATTCCGACCTCCTCGAGTTTAGTAAATAAATAATTGTATTTTTACGAGTTACTTATAACTATAGACTAGCATTGCTGATATCTCAGATCTCAGATTTTAATATCACCCAGCATCAGTATTGTTCACTGGACCATTTTTTATGGCGGTTTATAGTTTTAGTATGATCAGTATATTTTTGTAATGATTTGTTCTTTCTGGGAACGACTACCCCAAAAGTAATGAAGTATTGTAATAGAGTTGTTCAACAAAGTTTTAAAACCTAATTTTATGGTTCCTCAATGTTTTACAGCTTATAGAAAACGAAATGGTCGGTGTTCCCATAGTTTGTCTGTCTGTTGGTTGTTTTAATAAATAGATAATAATCAATTTCCGAAAGTCCTGCGCCATTTTTGTTATTGTGTACTAAAATAGTTGCGTAGAAGCAGCAAACCAATTAAAATTTTTCTGTTCCTGCATATCAGAAATTGAAATTTAATTTTATATATTTTACAATTTGTATTAGAGCCTACACAACAAAGCCCTTTAACGTCTTGAGAAAACGCTAAGCCTTGTCTGATGAATACAGAATCTTTACTAAAATATATTGTATATTTATACCGTCTAGAAATGCGAAAATATCGCCTGAGATTTAATTTTTGTATTTTAGTAATACATTTGTTTTTTTCTGTAACTAAGTAATTAAGTAAAAATGACTGATCTAATTTTTATAAAATTCGAGGAATACAATATTGTTGTTATAAAATGATAACGTTATCACAAAAATGTATTAACGATTTTTCACTTTGAACGGACAGCATAAGATAAAAGTTTTGCCTGTGATTCAATACTCAAATATGTAGGTTTTATTTTACCTTAACATATTGGGTTATTGTACAAAAATAAAAATTTATGGTTTATCTAGGAAAGTACATAATGCAATTCTTTAAAATTTTTAGTAAAATGGTAACTAACATTGATTTAAGTAGTGACAGCAACATAGTCCTACACATGTAGTTTATGACTTCGTGTTGAGTTTTTATCCGAAACGTCCAGATTTTTGGAAAAAAAAAATCGAAATTATAAAACAACATTTTGCAATTTAATTTTGGATTTGCCAAACCGAATGCTTTGAAATCTTGCAGATGTTTTAAAGTTATGAAGAGCATAATAAATTTTTAGTTAAAATATATCTGCTTATCCCCTCTAAAAAATTGATGACGTCAGGTCAAAACTTTGTCGTATAAGTCCTATCTAAAATGTGTAAAGTATGATCAGTCTGTACTTGTAATTTATCATTTCATTCATATTTTTTTGATTTGCTTATACAGGTGACTCAAAAAAATTTATTAATCAGTCAATTTATTTTATTGAATTATTCAAGAATTGCAAAACTCAATCCTTTGAAATTTTGCAGACGTTTTAAAGGTATTGTAAGCATGGTAAATTGTTAATTAAAATATATCTATATATATTCCCCTCAAAAAATTGATGATGCCATCTCAAAACTTTGTCGAATAAAATTTATTAAACCAGGAATGACCCACTTCATTTTCCCAGAAAATTTTGGGAATACAATACTGTTATTTTCAGTATTACACTGCACCAATCTAAGTTGATGACGTCATCACAACATTGTGTAAAGGAAAAACTTAAAAATGCTGGATATGTTTTATTGTACTTCAGGAGCGAGGGACGTTCTGTCGAAACAACTTTCGACCAATTTTTTTCTTCTAAAATAAGTAACAATGATACAGTCGCCACACAAAATATTGATGGCTTTCTGTGTATATCACAACTTTTAGAATTATATAACAAATTTAGATTGTGAAAAAAATCAATTAATCTACTGACAGCTTTCCATCAAATTCTATTGTCGGTTTTTTTATTCAGTTTATTTTTTGCTTCTCGTTATATCTATTAACAATAACTATTATAGTTACTTATTGAAAAGAAAAATGCAGAAAAGGTATTTATGTGAAAACAAAGTAAAAGAACGTGAGAGAAAGGGAAAACGGAAGAAAGTGCCGCCGAAACAATTTGAACAGTGTGACATTTTTTCGTTTTATATAATATTCTATTGGCTATAATAAAAACAAAAACAAAAAATTACAAATCACAGATTTATTTATTGTACTTACATTTTATAATATTCAACATTATTTACAAAAATAGACTTTGTACACTTGAAGACACAGAAAAATGTATACATTTGCTTTAGTGTTGAGATAACAATATCACCATACATATTTTTGTTTTTATTTATTTTTAATATCACCTTCTACTCATCAGTTTTAAATTAGTTAAAACTAAAATAAATAGCTACAAGAAAAGGAGTTCCGGTGTGTTTCTCATAAATAGGTACTTTTCTTCGACAGGTTCATGTGCTCTGTAACTGGTGCTAAGAAACGATCTAAAGTTAATATTGCAGAGTTGTTACGAAAAATAAATATGCATATGCCCATAAACGTAAAAGTTACAAACGATTATTTATTTTTGGTGAGTGAATGGAGGTTCCAGCGAAATTGATGGCCTTACAACATCTGGATGTTGAGAAGGATCATGAAAATTTCCGGGCTGGAACTGTCGTCCTTGTTCTGGCAAATAATTAGGATGTTGTGGCAAATGGTAAGGTATTTGTAAATCTGTGTGTCCTGGCTGGATCGAACCTTGCAGCAAGATATTGGAACTTGCGCCATCTCCGTGTCGTATTTGTTGGTTGAAATGGTGTTGGACATTCCCGGGTAATTGTTGGTGGAAGAGAACTGGAGCATTTTCAGGCAATTGTTGATCCACGGGAACTTGTTGGGGATGTTGATGGAAAGCAACATTTGCATCTTGGGGTAACTGTTGATGGAAGACTTCGGGATGTTGAACGGGAACATGCTCATGGGGTAATTGTTGCTGGAAAATTTCTGGATGTTGTGGCTGGGGTACATGCTGGAAGTTTTCAGGATGCTGCGGTTGGGGTAGTTGTTGTTCGTAAATATGCGGATGTTGAGGAAGTTGATGGAATAGGTGTTGTAAGTGACCGGGTAATTGTTGCTGGAAAATGGAGTGGTCTTGTGGGATTAATGGGGTTTGAACGTCATGTTGTTCATGAGGTGGTTGCGGAAGTTGTGGGTGAATGTGAGGTGTCTGATGAGGATGAATGTGAACAGGAACGATTGTCTGGGCCGGAGTTTGTGGGACAACTACAGGAGGAGGTGCATCGACTGGAACTTGGTTAACAGGAACGACGTGATGATGATGATGATGATGATGATGTGGAAACAGTGCTGGATTATGGAAAAATACTCCTGGAGCGGCAGGTATTTGATGGAATACGGTGGTACTTACAGGAGGGGGAAAAGGCTTCACGACTGGTGCAACTGGCAGCAGAGGTGCTACTGGTTGAGCTACAGGAATAAAAGGTTTTGATGGAATTATCGGAACTGGGACGTGATGCACCGGTTTGATTGGTACTATCGGCTGAATTGGAACAAGTGGTTGTACAGGTTTCACTGCTACTATTGTATGTACTGGCTTCACAGGTACTATAGGTTTCACAGGAAGCACAGGCTTAATCACTGTCACTGGTGCAGGATGGACATGTACAGGTTTAGGATTCCAGCCGTTTTGCCACGGTTTGTGTGGTACTTGCGGTAATGGTACATTGACTGGTACCACCGGTTGTGCGACCGGTATAACAGGTTTCACTACTGGCTTAACAATAGGTACCACCGGTCGCCAACCATCGTGATGAATAACAGGGCGCACTGGAAGAAGTGGTCTTACATAGTGAGGGTGTTTTACGTGCAACAATTTTATCCTGTGATGGTGGTGATGATGAAGATGAGGTTTGATGGAGATAGGTTTTACTACTGGTACATATTTTAACTCAACTGGTCCATAACCAAGAACATATTTAAATCCAGCCGGATGAACACCTACATGTTTGGCCCACCCGTGATGATTCGAAAATACTGTTCTTTTATCTTGTTCTTTTGCTTGCTGTTCCTGTTCGTAATCGTTGAGCGGATTCAAGTAATCGTTTTGGTTTTGTTGTTGCAAATCGCCTTCGCACGAAATGCTCTTCGTTAAAACGAGAATCGGCACAATGCATGCCTGGAATAAATCAAATTTTATAATCAAACTTTTCTACCGTGTATTGCAACACTCACTATGCTTTAAACAAATACCGAATAAATTAATTTATCAGTTCATTAACAAAGCAATTTACTCTTTTGTCGTTCTTTTTGCTGAGTAATAATAGTTTAATCGAACTCACCATGAATATCCTCATATTGATTATTCTTACACTCGCAACACAGGAATTAAAAAACTAAACAAACATCATCACAGCACGGTTTAACAACGACAAAAACGAACCAGTCACTTTCTTTTTGTTTTTATACAAACCATTTCTACAAGACGAGGGTTGTATATTAAATAGTTGTGCGCTCTTTAATATTAATAAATGTCAGTGTCGAAGAAAGTACTTACCAATTTTAGATGCATTTCTTTGTATAATTGCTAGTCTGAGTTTGCAATAATAATTAGCGACACCTTTTCTTTTGCTGATTTTGTGCAATTTACTGGCGGATTCTGTTTTTATTTAAATTTCAAGGAAATGACACAGAAAACTTGAAACCAATGCATTAATCGGGAACACTGACCTAACGATATCGTCTTTACTGCTCCGATGGTAGTCGGATTTTTATACTTTGACAAAATCTTCTATAATAATGGCCTTTAGAATAATACAATATAGCTTAAATAAATTAAACAACAATTTTGTACTGATTGTTTCACATTTTAGTACAGTCGTCTCGTTAATAGTGAATATCAATTTTACGGATGAGAAACAAGGAAACTGGTTTGGATACCTTATTTAATCTTTGTCTTTTTTCTTACAGTTCTTCGAACAATATTGCTATCGCAAATCAATTTTAAGGTAATTAAATTCTAAATTATGGTAGTTTGGTCTGTCTGCCTTTCATATCTAACAGGAATTAAAAAATCCATTACCCAGGTGAAATTAAATATAAGAATGATATTAAATAAATGCATTTCTTCAAAGTAAAATTTCTAAACGATTTAACGCTCCTTTCTAACTGCAATAAAAAATGCATGCATTTTTTATTTCGGTCTTACTAGCTATAATTTTATTATAATTTGAATTTTATATCCAATTCTAAGTATTTCACAGTTAATTATATTAAAGACTTTTTACACGGATATACTTAATAATAGATTAGTACATATAAAGTATACATTTGATTTACATTTAAGTGTATTAAGCGAGGGACATTTGAAATGAAGAATTATTTGCATGTTTTTAATATATCATACGTCCAGCAATTACCTTATTCACAACATGAATAACGAACTGGACAAGGAAATTAAAAAGACGTCGATCAGATTTGAAATAATGTCTGGTGGTAAGCTTAGTAATAATTGCTATTAGCGAAAGTTGTTTTAGAATTGCATTAGAATAATTTTTAAGCGTTTTACCACAGTTTAGGTTATGATGTAATTGTTACATTACAAATTTTTGTTGTTTAATAAAACATGCATCTGTCACTTGACCGTAAAAACTATGAAATATTGCATTATGCTTTCTCTATGTAGGTTAACCTAGTTTTTATTCAAATGGGATAAATTCGATGTAGAAATTTTATTGTTAGGTATACGTTGTGTTGAAAATTTTAACTCAATACTGTCAAAGTTGGATAAACACTGCAGGAATGTTGTGGACTTTCTTCGTCTATTGAATGCGTAGCACGTATATGCGTCTAAGCAATGTCGGTCACAGTTTACAAGTTAAGAAATAGGCGGAACTGGTTGGAATCAGTTTCATTTTTTAATCAATCGGAATATTCATGACACACGTTAAATGATAATGACCGTTTAAAGAAAGGGAAAACGATAAGCATGGTTCATCATGTAACGTTTTACGTGCTGACAATCGACGTGATTAAACGATATATTTGTCACTATGTTGTACTTACTTACTTGTCATAACGGGACCACTTGACCACTGGCTGTTACAAAAATTGCTATTATTGTAAGTTTATGCTAATCAATGCTAGGACTTGTATACACTTAAAATCTAATTTTATGGAACATTTGTGGTCTGCAGATTTGACAGCGCAGTATAAATGCTCATTGATGCATGCAGGTCCCATTCAATCAAGTAACAATTTATGTAATAACAGAGACTTTCGCGAAAAACGCAACAATACAACGAGCAATAATGTCAAAGAGAAAAAAAATCCCTTTCTCTATAATAAATCGATTGTGACAAGTGAAATTGTCTTAGAGCAGAAGTGTTAGTACGATTTATGCATTTCAGTGGCTAACATCCGTCACAAGAGCATGGCACAATGCTAATAAATCAGCTAATCTGTTGTGTACTGTTCTCCGCAGTGACTGTATATAGTGATTCTAGTGATAATCGCGATAAACGGACTATAGGCAGCTGGTTAGTGAATATAGGGGATGTTTTTGGCTACGATGTGCACAAAAGGCCTGCACTGGTGCGCTCCCCAGTGACCTTATTGGCAGGGGCAATTCCTGCTGTAGCTCCTGCTGTAGTGGCCTCTCCGGTAGAAGCCATCGGACCGGTTTTGGCTCAGCAGCGAAAGTTGCCTGGACCGGCGCCTCCACCAGCTGCACCTGCACCTGCTCCGGCTCCGGCTCCGGCTCCGGCTCCGGCTCCAGCTCCAGCTCCAGCTCCAGCTCCTGCTCCGGCACCAGCTGCTGCCCCCGCTGCTGCCCCTCAGTTACTAACAGAAGCCATCAGAAAAACGTTTAGCGTTAATTTCAATTGGGGCAAAAATGTGCAAACTTTACCACCTCCGGGTAAAGCAGCACCAGTTTTAGTGCCCATAGCTTTTCCAGCTCCAGCTCCTGCTCCCGCACCTGCTCCTGCTCCTGCTCCTGCTCCTGCTCCAGCTCCGGCTCCAGCCCCGGCTCCCGCTCCACGACCGCCGCCGCCACCACCAAGACCAGCTGCACCTCCAGCTCGTCCGGGAGCGCCGCCGAAGCCTCCTATGAAGGTGCAACTCTACAAGGATTATGACTACGAAAATGAGAAGATAACGGTGACGAATCCACAGAAGCCGCAAAGCGAAGACGATAAGGATTACCCTAAATTAGATCAACCTCAGAAGGTCCAAATTGAATTTCCGGATTATTCGGCAACGGACTACGGGTCTGAGAAACGGGAGGTTAATTATGATTATCTTCATTCCAAGGAAAAGTTTAAAGAAGGGTTTAAAAACTTTTGGGAAAGTTCACCGTATACTCATGAACACGGCTACAAGTTCTTAGCTCCGGAAGAACCGGAAAAAGAAAACTTTCAGCAGGATGTACCCAAAGAGTCGAAATATGAGGAGTACAGTTTAAAACCTAAACACCACAACAGTGTTCGAAGTTTGGAAAGTCCTAAAACATACATTTACTCTCATGGCTTAAATATTGATGAATTACCTCAAGGGATGATGGATGTTCATGGAGCACTGAATGACGACTTAACGCCACTGAACAGTGAATTGCAGAAACATATTTTAGATTACTATAGAAGAAAATTTGCCTCCGATGCTGCTAGTAAACAAGAAAAGGTTAATAGGTACACCACCACTGACAATATTCAACCCGATTTTATTGCACCAGACAAACATGGTCTTAATTTGCAACGACTAAACAAAATAATCCAAAGAGGAAAAGATAACTATTACAAATTTGAAAATTTAAGAAACCCTGTTGTGAGATCCGGAGAATACGACGAAGTTCCCAGCCGACTCGGGAATGTGAGAAACAGGTACCAAGAGTCTGAAAATTTGAAGAATTTGGAACAACAAGAACAAGTTGACAAAAGTCCAGTAGTCTATGAAAATCTTAAAAAACCACTACCCAAAGATGTTGAACAGATACCCAAAGTTCAAAATAAGAAGAATCGAAATTCAGAAAAAGAAGATCATGATAAAGAAAAAACACCTGATATAAACTTCGACGAATTAGATTTACACCCCGAAAAGGAAATCGAAAATATAGATTTTTCATCTCCAACGAAAACGCCGAATATAGAAACTTCTAAAGAAGAAAGACAGGACTATTTTAAAGAACTTGAGAAAGCTATCGACGACGAAATAGGAGCACGCCTGCAAAAAAATAATGAAAAGTACGAGAACATCAAAGACGATTTATTACACAAGCCAAATAACAAAGATACCGATGAAAAATTGAAATCTGTAAATAAACCAACCCCTATAAAAATTGAAGATGTTGAAGAAACAGAAAATTTTGATTATGAAATGTTACCACATTTAAGAGGAGATGATAAGCAAACTGATGACATAAAAGAAGAAACGTCGGAAAAGGCTGATACAAAAAGCGACGAACCTGAAAAGTCAGATAGTAAATCTGAACCGAATATTGACGAACACGATAAACAGTTCGAAAATATCAAACAAGAATTCACAGACCGCCATAAACAATTTTCGGAGCAATTGCCCCAACAAGAACAAGCTTCGAACAAAGATTTGCTATCATTCCAGGATGTTGATGGAACTCTGTATGAAGAAACTGCACCCTATCATCAGACAGAGTACGAAAATCCAGACAAAGAAGCCGAGGACGAAGCGCCAACTTACGATTTTGAAGGAGCAAAAAAAGAACTGGAACAACAAGTGAACAGCCAACATTTTTCTGGATACCAAAATGACGATAACGATAAATTTAAAATCTACTTTGACTATGATGTCGGCACTGAACAAAAACTGCCCTTCTACACGGGCGATATCGAGGGTTACGTAAAGCACGAATTCGAAAACGACAAGAAAAACTTGAAACAGAAAACCGAAGATAATCTGGAAAATTATTATAAAAGTTTAGAAGAAGGCAATAACGAAGAAGAAGAAGAAAGTGACAACAGAGAATACGACCCTGAGCGCGAAGTAGAAGAAGATGAAGATGCTAATATAGAACATGGTGAAGTGCAAGAAGAAGCCGAACCAAGAAGACAGAAAGAAGATGCCAAACCTGAAAAAAAGGAAACAACAAAAGTATCCGCCAAGAAACAGCCGGTTACGTTCAAAGTTATCCCTTTTGCTGAGAAAACAGAATCACAAGCGGCGCCAGATTTCCTATCAAATATAAATCATGCGAATGCGTTTTTAAGCGTCCCGAACTATTTTGGTGAGCATAAACATGCGAATTCTGGATTCGATCAAAATTTTGAAAAAAACTTTCCTGTGAAGGAAATTCAGGCGGCTTCGAAAAACACGGAAGTTATCCAACCTCTTCATTCGGGAATAATTTCCGTGGGAGCTTTACAAGAACTGCATAAGAGTAACAAGCCTTTAACTATTCCTTTCGATTTTGACTACAGCGCGTCTGAAGTGAAGGAGAGGAAAACCAAAATTGTTATTGATAACGAACCAGCTGCAAGTGAGTACACTGGTTATGAAAATTATTATATTCCTGAAAAGTATACAGAAGAATATACTTATACAGTTCCAGAGCCGACGCCAATTGATTACGCCAAATTAGAGGCAAAGGATTTTGTAGATGACGATAAACTTTCGAAAAACGCTAAAGTTTTTAGTAAAGTATCTGGGAGGAAACATGCTAGTTTGACCATCAACGGAGAATCTTATCCACTCTAGAGATAATTAGCAAAAATTAGTTTAATTTATTGTCGGTTAGACCAAATATTGTTAGTAGATTTTAGACAATGGAAACGTTGAAAGAGTTTTGTAATCGTTCCTTATATTTTGATATCGTTGCACTGTTTTATAAAAAATTACGTAAATGTTAAAAATAGATAAATATATTGAAAAAATAAGTTAATATTTGTAAGTTACGACACATTATTGCGCTTAAATTTCTTATGCTTGTTAACTATTTGTATAATGTTGGTTGTAATAAAGTTTAAAAAACATGCAATTTTTTAATATAATGTGTACCATCTCATAATGTCTGCTTAAATACAAACGAATTTAAGTCGTCCTTTGTTATAGCCAGGTGTTAACGAACTTTACTTTCCTACGATACTGGCAAAATCTATTACAATGGAAACTATCGTTTATTTCCAGGCAAAAAAATCAAGATCAATTGGAATACAAGTCACTGCCGATGCAAAAACTGCCCACACCGTTACCGAGACTGGAAAAGAACTTGATAGAAAGGAGTACCAAAAAAAGTGAGTGTATTCGTGAACGTATTGTTATGCATTACTCTTTAATTTTAATTTTCTAGCCTTTCAGAAATTTGCGACAAGCTCAAAAAGGAGTTGTGGACGTTACACAGCCACATTGAAAAACAAAACTTAAAATTATAAAATAGTCTTTTATTAGAGTGTGAAATGCATAAACATAAACCCACATAGATTAACTTATTTTTTATACAAAAACAATAGCACTAACGTACACCATAACAACACCACATGTATCAAAAATCAACAATCCCTGAAAATTATTTCTTCACGTTTATATTTAAGCAACCTGCTTAAAACTTATTACTTAACATACGTCATACCTACGAATTTAGGTACTCAGACTAGTTTAAATTAAACATTGGATTTGTACTTATATATCTAATAAAAGTACGAAAATATATAAAATTCTTTTGTATATGTAAAGCTATTCTTTAAAAGACTTTTCTGGTCCTTGGTTCCTAGTTGAACCTTCTGGTTAAATATGTGTGCATATAATCGTAAACTACCAACATAATGGCTCCACCTGGACCTAAACGTAAAACTTTGGGCAGAAGTCCTTTGTACAGAGCTCTAAATCTATGAAAAGATATCTATCAGTTAAACTTCTGATTATTATTTAAAGAAGATACCTACCCCTCCTCTTTATATACAATGGCTACTGAACCCAAAGTAGTGCGATATTTGATTTGGCCGGAAATGGGTTGAGGTCCTTGAATTCTTGACTTTGCAACGTCAAATGGAATATTAATACAGGATGCCAGTGTGCCAGAAACAAATCCAATTCCTACTTTCCGGAAAAATTCTTGTATAGGATCCTAAAATAAAAATGTCCTTTATTCCATTCTTTGTATAATAATTGCGCACATAGTAATAATAAAACAATGACAGGATTTCGACGACGTTTTCGATCAAAAATAGAAATGCCTAGTCAGGTCCATGCCTAATTCAATTTAGCTCCGCTGCGCTTCAAGCGAAGCGAAATGTCAGTGGAGTTGGCCATGGTCAGGTCTAAAATGATAGCGCCATCTATTGGCTTATTTTCCCTTCTTCATTATCTGACGACTTGTGCATTATGGTGATTGTGTTAATAATACAAATATGTAATTAATTACATGCCATGTGACATGAAAAGATAAGATAATGAATGATAAATTGATGGATTTACCTCAAATTCTGGCAGATACCCTTTGACTGAATGATAAAACCCAAAATAGATCATATTAAAAACACCATTTCTTGCAATTGTGGCTGTAACGCCCTTATTTAGCCCACGCAGTCCTAATCCATCAGCCCGTACAATCTCTTTGGTAACAACCCATGTGCTGGGCAATTCTTTCCCCACAGCCCTATTTGCTTGTAAAGTAACTTTAACAACTTCAAATGGGTTTACCAGGACAGCTTCAGTTATTCCCGCGCCTAAACCAGCCAAGGAAAATGTCTGCAAACACACCATCATCAAAGCATTTCACAACCCTTTCAAATTTTACCAGAGGTGTAGGTGTTGGTGATCCGAACAAAAAAAGTTGCTTATATTGTTCAAATGTGAAGAACTAAAACAGAAATGGTGTTATTTAGTTTAGTGGGGTGCGCCTGGGGATCCGTGGTACTTTAACAGCTCGCTTAGGGGTTTCTGCTAAGATTGGGGGTAGAATTCCTTTCCAAAAGGAAGTCAAGCCTTCATACTTGTACATTTTCCGAAAGCAGTCAAAAATTCCGGAATAGTACTTCGGGTCATTTTTAGTAAGGATTTTTCCGCTCTGGATTTGCAGTCTGGTTTTAACTAAGTCCAAGGGATGCATTATGCAAACTTCAACAAAGCCTGTGCAAATAGTCGAAGCGTGTATGGGTGAATTTGGCATAGTTTTGGGTTACCTGCTGAACCTCCCGAACCAATTTGGATGGCAGCTTCTTTTAAAATTTTTCGGGCGTCGGACATGGTTTGATGTTTGTTAAAAAGTGGAAAAGTTAACACAGAGAGTAGCGGCAGAAAAGATAAGATAAAGAGGTTTGTTCTACAGTCTGAGTGAAATGACAATGCTAAATATTGCCGCGTGAGCTTATTTTAGCCATCTCACTCAACCCGAAAGCGTAAACAAAACAACCAAATAAAAGAAATTAAGAAATCAGCTGATCATCCTATTGGAGGTTTTCCCAAAAATTTGACACATTTTTGGCAGTTTGTCAATTGTCGTCCATTCGAAGTAACGGGAATTCGCGCCGGTGACATGGGGAAATTGAGGTTAACTTTGACGTAACGGCAAAAAAAATCTGACAGACTGTTTCTTTTGATAAAATTCACGAACATCGGTGATGATAACGAAAAAGTAGCAAACTTCCGGAACTAGTACGATGATGAGTAATGACGAAGACATATCCAGTGCAAAGTCCTTTACTTAGTAATTCTTGTGAAATCTTATCGGTGTTATTTGGAGAGAAACAAAAGTCAGCTGAAACGTCAAGATGGAGTGCAGAAAGTCTGTCATCGATTTAACCCGTTTGTAAACATGTAAGCAACTTCTTAGAAATGCTCTAATTTTACTATGATAGAAGAACAGCAAATGGGCTCGCAAACATTGGAAATCTTGAGACAAGGTGTTTGGGCTTCTTTAACGGGGGGTTGGTTTTTTGACCCCCATCAAGATGTGTTTTGTAACACTTTCCATCTTTACATCTGGCTTTTCTTGCTGTGTTTACCTTTCACAATATACGTGGTAAGTTACATTAAACTCACGCTTTTCCTTGTAATTGGGTCGCTGTTTCTAGTATTTTCCCCCGACTCGGTACATGTGGTATTTCTATTGTTTGTCGGTGACAGTCGTCTTAGCAGTGATCAAACTTGTAAATTATGGCTTACACCACATGTATGACACATCGGAATGTATACATGAAGAATCTGAAGAGAATTGGCAAGAAGTCAAAAGGTAGATTTTCAGTATGTTTTAAATTTCTATAACATTTTTTAATTTAACTTTTAGGGAAGAAGAAGGCATCGAGTTGCAAGTTCTTTCAACAAAACACCCAGAAATTAACCCACCACCTGGCATTCATGGATCTTTTATATCATACACGGAGGGTTGTTTACCAAGTACAGATGCTGAAAGTTTGGCATCAACTGAATTTCAGCAACCCGAAAATGTAAAGGATACCAAACCTAGTAGCACTATAGGTGAGAAATTAGTTTTTTTTTTCCAACCAGTTTTGTCCTAAATCGTTACTAACAATAATTTTCTACAGAAATGAGTTTTTTAAGAATAATTTTTTTAGCAAAAGTTTATTCACCAAATTGTATTTTATGCTATATTTGAGGTGTTTCAATTCCTGATTTTTTATTTGGCATTATCTAAAGTGAAAGGAAATCACGGCATTTTTAATGCAGTTAAGACCATAAAAATCCTAAATTATGAGTAATGGTACATTACTGTTGATAAAGTATTACAAATTAATTTAAGTTTACCAAAATGCAGTTCTGGAGTTTTTCTTTAAACGACACTTCCGTTTCTGTCATTATCAGTTTTATTATTATTGCGTAATTTGACGCCAGAATTTTTTGCTTATTGAATCCAACGAGCTTTGTTGTAGATTTAATTGCTTTTTTATACAAAGGAGTAAAATTAAAATGTTCTCGTCCGTGCGCTCAGTTTTTATATTTCTCATCAAATCCACTATTTTATGTCATACTACATCCTGGAATTCGGAATCATCGGAGCGAAGGCGATCGATTCTGAATACTTTTTAATTAATAAAAAAATTGAAGCCGCAGTTATCGTTGTGGGATCAAATAACTGTATTATGTTGGCACATTCCAATTATTGGAATAATCAGAACGTTAAAAAAATATTAAAATGGAGCTCATTTATCTTAAGAAAATTTATGTATTTTTTGTTTGACAAGCAAACCACAAACAAAATATTTTGTAAGATTAATCCGCTGGTTGGATAATAATGAGGTTAGATAATGATTGTTTTAGCAGATTTTTGATGGTTTATTTTTTATCAGTTTTTACATAATGCCTTTAGAAAAAAATAATAAATAATACAATTTTGTCGCATAATTCTTACATAATTTTTTTGACCAGGGAAGTATGTTATGATTGGTATAATTTGAGCAATGTGTAATTTTATGTTATTGTGGTGGTTTATATATCATAGAACATGAAAGTTTGGGTATGTTTTTCCTTGTCATCTTGTTGGTCAGTTTTTAGACAGATATCTTTTTATGAATTTTAGGTGTACCACAAGATTGTTGTGGTGATTTGTTTCAGATGCGAATGACGTAAATAATTTCACAGACTTTGTAATTTTAAATTTGTAAACATGAGTATTATTTTGCGTATTGTCAGATATTTCACTTAAATATGTGTGACATGTAAATCTTGCATAGTGAAAATATCATCATCTAATCTTTATACATATTATTTATAGTATATAATAAAATCGTCGATTGTCTAAAGTTCAAGAATTATTATAATTAATAAATTAGTCATTTTATTACAAATTAGGACTATAATGCAATTTCTTATTAAGTCGAAAATCTTCCTTATTAACAAAAAATATATTGCAAAACAGTTACATAAAATTTGATTTTTAGAAGTGTTTATTATCATCGTAAAATGCAACTAGCCGTGCCAAATGTTATAGAATAGCACAACTAATTATAACATTTTGAATCTAGATCTAAAATAAGTTTTTATAGGTTGGAGTGGGTTGGTAGTATAAATTTATTGTTGCAAGCCTGTACAAAAAATAGTAACAACGTCTTCATCTGTTTTTACGCAGGTTATCAGAAGCGGTAGATGTTTCGAGATGGTGAATCAACGTTGTGTCATCGTTTGTATTTGTTCAATTTTTTCAAACGTGGCAATAAATCCAGTCTTTAGTGATGATACTACTTTAATTTGAGTTTATGGAATACAAAAACAATTATTGAATAAGCATATTTTCAAAAAAATAATGTTTCATTGGAATTTTTTAAACTTCCTAATTGTGCATTTTCTCAATAAATAAATAAATAAATAAATAAAATCATCAAAATTGTGTAAATTTGCACAATGCTGTTTTACTTATGGTTAATAATTGATTTTTACTCTTAATTATAGTTGTACATACTCACAAAAAAACCGTTGACATTGAGTTATTGACTTCAGAATTTTAATTAAAATTGTGTGTTGATCTTTTTCATAAAGTTGATGACGTCATAGAGTAAATTTTGAGTTGTGCTTCTGCAATATTTTTTTTTTGCTTGCATAAGATGTCTAAGTGCATACTTATTGAGTGTGTCTGATATGATTTTTTAATTTCCCTAAAATTTCTACAAAATCTTTGATTAGTGTTACATTCTACACACATAAGTAATATAATTTCCTTATCAAGAAGTTGATGACGTTACTTCAAAATAATAAGTAATTTTTTTTGTGAAAATTACGTTCAGAGATATATACCATATTAGTTGTGATTCAGAGACGACGGAAGTTAGATGTTAATAGCTTCATAGAGTTTTAGTAACAGATGTATTGTTTACGTTATAAAAGTATTAAATAAACAGTTCTCAAATTTTAAGTGGATGCATTTGTACTGTAGTATACGGACGCTTTGTATGTTTATTGTTGGAACATAACAGTTTCCTTCGGTGGTTTGAAGTATCGTAGAAATTTATTAAAAGCAACACAAAACTATATTTCTATTACAATTTATTATAAAAATAGCGGTCTGTATTAATTGCTTTTAAATCATATTAAAAACAGTATTTCACATAAACTACTTTTTTCATGTTTTTATTTTCAAACATGTAACTGCATTATTCTGTGACAGTGAAGATTTGAAATGAAAGGTAAAACTTTTGAAAACGGAATTTTAATGGATTTTGATTTTTTCTTGAGAAAGTTCGAATTATTTTCTTTCTTTCTGTTCTTTGTTCCCAGTACCAGTAACAATTGTTGTAACGTTAAGTAAATTATTTTAGCAGCACTTTTTATTCTATCTAGTAAGTCGTCATAGAACAATCCTTTGGTATTTTTTTGCGCATTGATTCTAAAATTGGCTGTCTTTTGTGTTTATTGCAGAAGAGTGTTAAAGTTAAAAAAAAAAGGTTAAAAAAACCAGTCATCATAAATTAATTAACGAGTATATGGCAACATAAGACATGTGTTATGTGCAAAGCCCAACAATTATGTTGAGAAGTTTAAATGTTGGAAGCTACCTACTGAGTCAGCTTGGACAGCAGCCGAAATTGACTGGAAGTGTGTTACATGGAATTTTTATTTGCTTCTTTCGGTCGTGATATTTTTCTTAAGCTTTAACACCAATTAACTACAAAAATTCGGTACGTGTTCGACAATTTCTTACCTTTGATTTCTTGCGGCTAATTAAAATGGAGAAAGTTTTCTATTCTGCACGCGTGGATTCTTGAAGTGACAATACAACTGCGAGTGTATGTAATGCTGTAAAAGGATCGAAACAGTCCAGAAAATCAAATAAAACTGGTGCTGCTCAGTCGTGTTTTTTGCAACATTTTAAGACAGAAGTAAATTTTTACAAGGTGTCGTCATTCTCACTTTTTTAATTTTAAAAGTTTCAATACGTCTCGTTTCTTTTGTAACATACTATGCATTTATGTGTTTATGTATTTATGACTGTACCAGATTTTTTGGAAAAGTTCGTGTTAATAGAGTCGACTAATAGATTATTTTCGAATAAAGTTAGTACAGGTAGGTCGCCTTTGACAAAATTCATATTGTGAAAGGGAATTTTTAATTAGTTGATCTAATACTCGTAGTTTAGGTATTACAGACTGAACACTCTCTTACTAAATTTTTAATACTACTGCAACTACTACTACTACTAATTTCGTTAAAAAGTTGTGTTAAAAATCAATTTACGTTTTGTGTTAAGGGTGCCCAGTAGCAGACCGAAAAATGTGCTAAATAGATTTTCATTTTACGGGCGTAATTTCAACTTTGAAAAAAATATCGACATTTCAATTGATAGATTATGTCTAAATCTCTGGGGAAGATAATATTTTTTAAAATAAGTGATTGTTTAGTGTTTAATTAATTGTTCATTCTTCGAAGGAAATTGCATTTTTAGACGAGGAGAGAGTTTTTTTCGCTTCAACTTTTATATCAGTGCAAAGAAAACATTGAGCTCTATGAGGAAGACTCGGTCATTTTTGTTTAAAATTTATATTTAACAAAATATTTGCTTTTTAAAAAAATACTAAATAATGAAAATAAAGTGAAACTAGGCAGCCCTATTTACAAAGTTTTCCGTTTCAATAAATGGCTGAGTTTTACACAGCAGGTACTTTAGGTCATAAAACTCATAAATACTCTTAGCTGACCAACATTATTGAAACTCTTTTACAAGTCGACTTCTTTCATTGCTGACATAATTTGATTTAAAAGTATGCAAATTTTTATAATTTTATATATTCTACTAAAATATTTTCTTTGAAAAAATTATTCAAATATTTTTTATTAATCTGTCATTTTATATATTAATCAATACACAAAACTGACAAGATTTAGATTCTCATCACTTCACTAACCACTCATTTACCTGAACAATCATATTTATTTAAATTTAATTTTTTGATACTCTTTTCCGCACCACCTATGAGGTAGAGTATTATAGGCACGTTTTTTACGTGATATCTCCAGTAAACCTATTCCAATATTACTATTTATTCCTGTGTGTGTTTATACTAAAAGGGTAAAAGATTTATATGAACTACATATGACGCGAATGCAAATAAAAAAATTTAATTGTACAATTTTTTCTTTACAATTTGTCTAATGGGTTGACTTGTTTAATAACGAGAATCTACTCTCTCCGGAAGTAAGGCATATAAATATAAATTTTCTAGGGCTCTATCATATTATTTCCCAAAAATTTATCATCTCGTAGAATTAAGCATTATTTAAATTGGACATTTTATATATTTCTACGATAGCGTTTTTGTTTATTAAGCCGTCTGGCGATGCCGCTAAAAATGTACAAACCTCATTGTCTTATTGCCAGTTTGGTGTTACTGCAAAATGCTTCAGTTGCTCTTGCTTCATTTTCTATGCAAAGATTTTGGGAGAGTACATGCTGAACTAGATTTGCAGGGATGTAAAATGTTTTTCACAGTACAGTAGGATTAGCCCTTTTACCTACTGGTTCTCTCATTTTGCAAATTTTACCAAAATAACGTTCGGTTAGTCTAAAGGATTTTTCTGCGCACCATTCTGGATTATTGACATCAACGTTTGAAAGTTTTTTGAGAAATACTTTTTGCGCTGTGACATATCAGGTATTTCAACTGTCTCGTTAGATACGTCGTCGCCCGAGAACTTGTATGATCCACAGACCGGAGCGCGCTCAGGCCAATGTCGACTCTATAAGCCTCCAGAAATTCTGCGGGAAATAGTTATTATTTAGATGCTTTTGTTTACACACGTCTCACATGTTTCACTCGATTTTAACACTATTTTTTTGTTTAACTAAGAATGAGTACTTTCATTGCGTTTGATACTAACGTCCTAAATTAGCAATACTAGTGGAACAGTAATCATGCATTAGATTTTTTTGGGAAAGTACAGTTATTTTTGTGTTTTAGCAGCAATGTGTTCTATTTTCTATTAATTTTTACATATTTTTAGTCACAATTTTGGTAGTTATTTTTTACCGGTGGAGATAGAAATGTCTTTCCAAGAAGCGCTCGGATGAAGAGACTTTCCTATGATGCAGCTGACCCCCAAAATAAAATACCGTATGATAACTGTAATTGAACAATTGCAAAATAAATCCTTGTTAGAATTTTCATTGAAATAGAAGTTCTCAAACGTCTGAATAAGTAACATGTTTTACTATTTCTTTCTCATGATTTGTCAATCTGTAAATGCCATGTAAGTGTGGGATCCATTGTTACCCTTTAAAATTGGAAATGCTGGAAATCGAATCCGGGGCCTTTGAAATGCAAAGCGAATGCTGTATCACTGAGCCATTGCCCAGGTTTCACATGTTTCGTATTATGTATTTAAAGAACAGTTTTACTATTGGAAATATTAAACAATAAAAAAAGTACATATAATGATGGTCTGTCTGTCTGTCATCTGTGTCGATTTTTACTAGATCTCCGAAACCACGTGGCGAATTGTCGTCAAATTTTATATGTATTTTAGGGATGTCGTGCAGATGGTAAAACACCAACCAAAATTCCTCTAATTATCCCCATCAATAATTTGATAACATCCGCTCATTATATTCTGTAGTTAAGATTATCTATATTTTATGAATAATATACTCACTGCACTAGTGATTTATAAATATTTCATGATTTTTATCGCAGTAATTTTACAAAAACTTTTTGTGCAATATTTTTCACTTGCTTTATGTACTCGATATCTTGTTTCAATGTCAAGTTGAATAAACGACTGATTTCGGACTTGTGCCCTGCGCCGTTTTGTTCGAATCCTAAACTTACTGACTATTTTTTCTACTGTAACTTTTATTACCTATATTTTTTTACTCATAGGGGTTATCATAAAATAAATAAAATTTTTCCAAAACAAATTTTATAATTTTTGAAAAAACTGGATTAGTTCGATTTTATTTAAGGAGCGAGAGAAGTTCTGTCTAAATAACCTTAGACCAATTTTTTAAATTATCAATAAACTGGATCAGCCTCAAAAGCGTTATTAATGAATAATGAAGTAACAGATTTTCTTTGATATATTACTGGATACGGATTTTAGAATTCTACTACCTCGTATTATGATGTTTTGGGTCTTCTAATCCGCGCTATTTTTTGAAAAATCTATACATCCTTTGTAATTTACAGACTTAAAGGCAGAAGTCCATCGCAAGAACTCCTCCGAAAGCAGCGAAGGCGCCGCAGCTCCCGTCTTAGAAATAGTAACCTACCAACCCGACGTGCCTGATAGGAAAACGAAAAAGGCGGACCGTCGTTCGAAACACCAGCGTTCGAAAACCGACGGCTTCGTCTGTGTGACCGTCAAAGATGACACCAAACAAAACCGCTCTAGTTTCCGTAAACTGTACCAACAGAGCAGCGCCGACTCTACGGACGGCAACTTATTGGCACAACAGCGTCCGTCTCTACAGAGTGTCGATAGCGAACAAGGGTCTTCAAACACTCGAAGACACTCCAACTTCACCAACAGCAGTCTGAATTTCATACCGTCAAGTGTCCAAGCTGAGATCAAACCGACGGGTTCTCTAGAACTGGGATACATAGACAAAAATCCAAACCAGTCGCTCACGTCGGAGGCCTTCTACTTCAAGAACAACAGAAGTGGAGTAAGGAGGATTAGAAGTACTGCTCTGGAGACGTGCTGTCCGGCTCCATCTTTGACGGTGCATCCGAACAGTTTGGAGGTTATAGGTTGCAAATGTGCGCGAAATCCTTTGCCTCCGCCTAGCTCTAGTTTAGTGAGGAACCAGCACTTGAATCTGTGTACGTACTACGGTTCAGAAATTGTTTATCCAATAGCAGAACAGTCCGACGAGCACCAGACTTCTCACGGTCCGGATACGGACGTGGACTCTTCAGCACACATTTCCGACTCGGATTTTGAGGAGAACCAAGGAAGCAATTCGCCTCTGTTCTACATAACTGTGAAAACGATGACTCGAAACGTGCCTTACGACAAATCCCATCCCAAAATTGAAGAAAAGTGTGGTGAAGAAAGGACAAGCGCGACGTCGAAAGACGCCCTCCTAGATAATGATAATTCGAATTCGAGTGCCACGCCCGAAATGCACGACGCAAGGACTGACTGTTACGGGACGGATAACGAATGCAGTGATAAAAAATTAAGTGAGTGTTCGAATTTATCTTGTAGTAATACGAGCGTCGAATGCGACGAACGGAGTCCGAAAATACCAAATTGTCCATTTTCGGTGAGAAAGTTATGTCACGTGTTGGGCGATGATTTTAAAGTTTTTCGAGATCAAGTTCGAGATAGTAATGTTAGAGTAGTGTATGCCAAAAATGATGTTTTAGTGAATGAGCCAAATGTCTTCCGGAAGAGGAACGTGAAGAAAAATAGGAAAAGGAAGTTGGGGGAAGCGGTCAAAATGGGCGATGCCGAGAATTGCACGAGTTTGGTCGAGCTGGATTTGGATTGGTTGTTCGATGACGAGAATCATAGGAATCAGCATCGGATAGGTAAGTAGAAGGGGTATACTTGGTGACGGAAGCCTTACTAGGGAACGGCACGAGTTATAATGTTCGTCCGGTTTTTCTGAAAGTATAAAAATTTGATTCCAGTGAGTAAAAAAATACTTGCAACCATAATGGATCGCCATTTTCGCTTTACAGAAAACAAGGACATAAAAATATTTTAATTTTTTTCTTGCGAAAATTGTGTCATTAATCCAAATTGTAGGTACCTTCGGTTCTGTTCTATGGAGTGCTATTATATTAGTCTTATTTTGCTCTGTGTAACAAAATCTTTATACTTTTAGAAAAAAACGGGAGTTAAACTCGTGATATTTCCTTGTTGGATAAGAAATCTAGTAGTTCGCTATAGATGAAATTTATGCAGCCTCTAGCAAAATAATGAATCAGACTTGACGATAAGTTTGAAGCGCGCACGGACGTGTATAGGAACAAGGAGTGTGAAAAAGAAAAAAAGTAAGACGGGAATATTTTTTTAGTACTGTTTCTGTTGACTGTATTAATAGCAATATTCACATTGAGGGGTTATCTACTGCTCTGTAGCCGCAACTTTCACATGTACTAGGAATTGCCTAAATTTAATAAAGGTCTTACAAGAAATTGTTAAGATTTTTTATCGTTTAAGGAACTAAGGCGGAATGCAATTTTGATGCTGCATTGTAAGTGACAAAAAGTGTATTTTCGAAAATAAGGTTTTCATGTTTACTGTATGGTATGGTCGTAAATGGTGTAAATAATGCAGCTTGCTACAAGAATTGCTTTTGTGTGGGGTGTAATGAAAAACGCACAAATACTGTAACGTATTTTTTTCTTTTCTATTTTCAAAATTTTGAAGATTAGATAAGAAAGAGGAAAAAAGGAAGAATTTGGAACCCTTGGAATTGCGCTCCTAGGATTTGTAGTATGGTTTCATCATATATTTACAGTTGGAATAGACGTTGACACTCGTGCGTATTTCAGATCAGCCACAATAATTTATTGCAGTCTCGACATGAAAATTTCTAATAAGGAGATTATGTCATTGTGGCTTTAAAATAAGGGCAACCAATGGTTTATTTTTGGTAGCACAGAAATAAAAGAGAAAAACGTTGCCACTTCAAGGAGAAATTGTGTCTGAATTTTTTATTTTTTTTTAAGACGCACAACAGTTATTTTTTTAAGAACCGTTTTACACGTCATAGAATTACTCCGAAAATTAATACAAAAATTACTACTAAAATTAACGTTAGAAATTTTGCAAGTAAAATATTCTGTATTTTGATGGTACAAAAACATGACCATTAATTTGTTTACGTTTTGAACGTCTGTGTAATTTCTTGCACTATATAAAATATTTTTTCTACTCCTCTTATAGTAATCAGTCAATTACAAACGGGTGTCCTTTAAAGTAAATCCATCATTACTCACACGAGTGGGTAATATATATAATTACATAATTGTACAGAGGAATAGCATTTGCTGTGGATGTCATAAAAATTTGTCAAAAGTGACAGTTTGAAAATTTAACTTCCATCGTGTCTTTTATTGCTTAAAATATGAGCGATTCGGAGAGTGATTTCGAAAGTACTCCGCCGCAAATTGTTGACCAAGCATTGGACGCCGTCATCCACCTTCTCCCCAAAAAATCGAAGGGGAAGTACGAGATGGTTTATGAAAAATTTATGAGTTGGTGCAGGGACAATGGGGTCCACTCTTTTTCTGAGAATGTATTTCTCGCGTATTTTGATAATCTCAAACAGAAGTACAAACTGTCATCTCTTTGGGCGTTTTATTCGATGCTAAGATCAACTATAAATATCAAGCATAACGTGAATATTGAGAACTACCCGAAATTGCGTGCTTTCTTGAAAATACTGTCAGATGGCTTCAGAAGTAAGTTTTATTTCTTATAACATAATTTGTAATTGTTCTTGTTGTAGTTTTGAGGTAACTATAAATTGTGTTTATTAAACATATTAATAAGCCATTTTTTAGGTTTTTTATTTATAACTGAGGTCGTAGAAAAAGTATAGTATGTGTACTATATGTGTAATAGGCTTACCACTCGAGTTGTGAGCTATTACACACTCCCTCGAATTACCCCACTCGCTGCGCTCGTGGCTGCAAACTTCGAGGTCGTGTAATAGACTCTTTACTACTCTTGTTATGTAATATACTATTTCTTACAACATTTCTAATATACATTTTGGTAGTAATTTTCGTATGTAACGAGTGGTCAGAGTTGTATTCAGCAAGACAGATCAACAAAAATTCTGGTTGTCAAAAATTACAGTACGCATTAACATTTGTACATAGGCTTTTGCCAGAGAAACGAAACGCGTTGGAAGTTGTGAAATTAGAATATGAGGGTTATAATAGCTCGTAAAAATTTACTTTTGTCCTAAAATGGTTCAAGAAGCAAGACTGAATTTAGTAGCACCCCCGCTCATGAAATTTATATCGAATAACATTTACTTTTAATTATCGAATTTTCTGCAGTGTTTCTATCCCTTTGTAGTATTGCGTAGATTCTCAATTGAATTGTCACTTATTAAGAACCCACGAGTGGAATATTATCGCATCAAGAATTTCTGGGCGATCTGCGATTGGTCAGATTCGGTTCAACACAGCCATTTCACTGGTCAAATTTATATTATGCGTTGAATTGTCGTGGTAATTTTCGGAGTAATTCTGTGACGTGTAAAACGTCCCATTTCAAAAGAATCCTTTTCACTCACCGCTTGGAAGTTGTAGTCATGGAATAATAAATTTAATCTTTAATTAAAACATATTTAATCTAAAATACGGTTTGTACGGCAATATAGTAGCAACAATTAAAAGCCATCGATTAATAGTTGTAAAATTTACTCTAAAGTCTTGTATGCTTTTTTTCTGCACAAAGGAATACATTATCATTGTATCAGACTATAAACTTCTTTTCGAAACTAATCCTGGATTTCTATAAATGATTATACGGAGTAGGTTATGAAAACGTGCCGCCTCTCAGTTTTGAACCTTACTAAATGCCCAAGGACGCATGATAAAGACCACACGCCTTTGTATAACTGGTTGCTTAAATGCTTCATATCTTATTAAAAAATAAAACTAATTCATTAAACAAATTTATTGCGGTTAAACATCGCAGTAAATGTTGAAAACGTTCACCATTTTGTTCTAGGCACATGTTTATTCTCTTTTTAATTTCAAAAATGTTCTGTAATTCTTTCGTCAATAGCTATTGTTCAATTTCGTGTTGCAACAGGAACTCCTGACTGCTGAGGAAATCTTGTCAAAGATGTTTGCGGATTCTGCTCAAGTTGTCTTAAATCATCAACAAATTCCTCAGAGACTGAAGGTCTTCCACTGCCAGTTCGAACAAATCTGTTAATTACATCTCTAATGTGAGTCTCCAACGATGTTTTCTTGAATTATTAAATCACGGTATTTGGCCAGATTGTTGCTTACAAGCGGTTACAGAATACACATCTCTTCGTTTTCGAATATCCAATTGCGATAACAGACATAACAATGAAAGTGTCTTGTTTAACAGAATGAACCATTTTCACGGCCTTCGTACGCAAGCACCAAGAGTTTTGAAAACAACTATTTTGTTTTGAGCTTTGATCAACGAGAATTACTGTAATTCACACTTGAAAAACGTTAAAAGTAAAGTCCCTAGTTTTTAGACTTTAGTTAAAACAATAAAAACGATGATTTTAAATGACAGGTGACAAATGATATTAATGAGAAGTGAGAATTGTTATAATGAGGCATAATTTTAGAGAAGTTGGATTTTTGTAATCCATGGCCAATTACCCTTTTAGAATCATTTATTAAAAGCCCTGTATAAACAAAAGCACGGAAAAATTTTATTTGTTCGAATTGAATGAGAAACGCTGTCATTGCTGGTTGTTGCATTTGTTACGTGTCGCCGTTAACACGCCGGGCAGGACCAAACTGACAGCTACTTTTTTTAATGTGCAAATTTGATACTTTCTAGGTGAATATGGGGCGAGGAACATAATTTGTAATCAAGTCGTCTTTGGAAAGGATTTAGCATAGCTGTGATTAAACCACATTGATAAATGTCAAAAAAATGACAAATGTAAAAGCAAAAATGTTGGACAATTTTTTTTAATAAAGTAAGTGTGAAGTTACAAGCAGAGGTTATGTAAAGTTAATTAAATTTATGAAATAAGTAAAATTAAATTTCAGCAAATGCTGAAAATGTTGCTTACTTTGTTGTAAACATAATCAACATCTCTGCATTATTATTTACGTCGTTAATTTATTCTGTTAAACCTTAATTCCTACAAAATTCTCTGTATTTGTGCTAATAATCCAGGTGTCAAAAAAATCCTGTAACATTGGTATTGTGGTTTTAGCCCAATGCACTTGTCTTGTTGAGAATAACCTACTCCCATTTCATTATCGCAAAGTTGTGATTTAAAATCTGGCAAAATTTATTGCAGATATCTGATAACGATTAGGTTACCTTGAAGACGATTACATTGAAAAATCCAGTTAATTACATTATTATTAGATATTTTCATGTTTACTTTCAAGGAATTACCATACATCATTGACTAATTGCATTTTGAATTTTGGTGCTTCATATTCTCATGTTTTGAGAATGAATGTAACCACATAAAGGAAAACAGGCTTCGTTTGTAAAAAAGGTTTTCTCCAACAGTCGGTCATCAAATGTGCTCCAAAACCACTGACAATAGTCAGCCCTAGCTGCGAAATCGGCTTCATGTAGTTCTTGCACATACATATGTATTACTCGGTACGGAAACAGTTCTAAATTTTCCCCAGTATTGCTCGGAAACTCCATACAATAATCCCATTTGCTGCACTAAATGCCAAATGAATGTTGTAAGAGTTTGCTCTGTCTGACATTTCCAGTATTTTCTGCAGTTCTTTCGACCTGCCAGTTCCCCCCGTTCTTTGTAGAGAAGAGGTTTCTCGAAACTTTTATTAGACATCGTTTTAATGGGTTGACAATG